TTACATCATGGAAGCCCCTCAAATACCCTGTGAGACGTCTCTGACCATCCCCACTTCACAGAGAGGAAAAACTAAGGATTGGGCCCAACTAAGTGCCTTGCCTAATGTCACAAACCAAATGCAAGACAGAGCTGGAATTTGAAGTTCAGCCTATCTGACGCCAGGGCCTCCTGCCAACCTCCGGCGCCTTGAAGCCCCTGCCAAAGTCCTTAAGGTGAAAGGCCATTAAACGCAACACAGTATCTTGGGTTTGACCCTGGAACAGACAAAAGGATATTAGTGAAAAAAAACTGTTGAAGTCCAAATAAAGTTCAGTTGATAGTAATGTTCCAACATTAGCTCCTTAATTGTGTCAGATGCCTCGTGGTTACGTAAGATGCTAACATTGAGGAAATCGGGGCCAGGGGAGGCAGAAACTCTGTACTATCTTCACAACTTTTCTGTAAATCTAAAGTGATTCAAAAGTTTAACATTTATTTTAAGAAAGAAGACTGGCCAATCAGGCACATAAGTCATGAACACTTTCCAACCTTGGCCTGAGACTCCGGGGCAGGGGATGGGGAAGGTGACTTCCATGAAACAACCTCAAGTGCTTTCTGCCTGTGACGTGGACCTGTGCAGGAGCACTATCCTTCCTTTACCAGCTCTCCTTCCTGATCTCCTCAAGGAGGAAGTCTCTCCTCGGTGCCAGCATGTCTCTACAGCCATCGGGTGGCTGTTAACTTTCCTTTTTAACAAAGAGAGCAGGCTTCAGTCTCAGAGGCTGCAGGAGAAAACGGTCTCGGTGGAATATAATCACCACCTTGGTTGCGTTGTATATTTTTACCATTAATTTTTATTTGTGTCAAGTCTTTATTTTTCGTTTTCTATATTTGGTTGTGATGTTAATTTTTCTGCTTAAACTTTTTTTTTTTTAAACGTGCATCGATTTAAAGATCAATCTAGGTAAATAAGGGAATGAAAGAGATGGGGGTTCAGCCACAATCGTAAAAGTGGTTCAGGAGTGGATGAAAGTTGGGAAATTAAGTGGAAATGGAAAGCACGTTTCACAAAGAAAAAGGGTGCCTTGGCCTTGGACTCTTATTGTCACTCCTGATCACTGAGGTGACCCAGGAGGGTGGGAAACGCTCTCTTGGCTGGGCCTGAGCCAGAGGAAGCCGGCCACGGGACCCTAAGCTCTCGCCTGGCTTTCCCACACTGGCACCCTGTCTGGCACAGACTCAAATGCTCAAAAAATATTTGTTGATTCGATGAATGCGTGGAAGAATGAACATGCAGATAAAACTCTGGAGTCAGTTCTGTCATTTCCGATATGAGTGTCAAAGTATTGTCTGAGGTAGAAGGGCCTTGGGGGACCATCCAGGGCCACCCATCATGGCACAAATGGGAAATGGAGGCCCGGGAAGAAGAAGGTGTTTGCCCGAGCCACACAGTTTGCAGGAAAAGCAGGGCCAGGAAGGAGGGCTTCTCACCTGTGATTATCCTCGCCAGCACACCAGCCTGTCACTTCCGGTGTGTGACCACACGAATGACCTCAGCCCAGGCAGACAGGAAACCAGCCTCCTGGCACCCTGCGTGTGCTTGAAAAGCCGTCTGCTCGGAAGTCACATAAAGGCTTTCTGCATTACTGGAAGGTCAAGTTGGATCACGTCCCAGGGGCGTGGGATTGTGATGCTGGGCACTTCCGTCCTTGGCCGAGGCTAGCCTCTCGCCTCTCATCAAGTACACCCATTCGTGGGCATCTCCTGGGTCAGAAGTCTCCAGACACCGATCATACCTCAGAGACCACGGAAAGCAGCATCTCAGGGATGCCACCTTCCCACAGAGGTCGACCTGACCACCAGCAGTCCCTCCCATCACCCTGACCTGCGCTATGCAATGTTCTTATTTAGTTATTACTCCTGTTTGTCATCTGCCTCTGTCTCCCAGCCTGGAAGCCCCACAAGGGCAAGGAGTTTGATATGTTTTGTTTACTGATGTGTCTCAGCCCCTGGAACAGTCCCTGGCACAGAGTGGACTCTTGGCAAACCTTTGTTGGATGGATGGATGGATGGACAAATGTTCCAGAGTCCTAGCTCTGTGGCTTTCTAGCTGTGGGGATTTGGGCAAATTAAGTGATCTCCCTGAACCTCCGTTTTCTCATCCGTAGAATGGAATGGCCACACTAACTTGAAGGGTTGGGGTGTCAGGGGTTTGGGGAAAGGCCCTATGCAGTGCCAGGCTCCTGAGAGGCATATAGTCAGTGTTGGTTACATCAAAGTCAAAGCACATTCATCCGCTCATGAGGTCTGTCAGTCCCCAAACATGTGGCCTGGTAAGGTTTCTTAGAAGAAGTAGCAGTCAGCCTTTTCTGGATGGATGAGTAACACGTTGAAAGGAACTGGTGGGAGGGGGAGAGTATGAGGAACAAGGGGAGCATCCGGGCGGGGTGGGACGGCAGGAACAGGGCAGGGAGGTGGCGATGCAGAGGGTGTGTTGAAGAAGCAGGCATGGCTGAGCCCCACGGCAGGCCTGCCAGGCAAAGGCGCATGGCCTTCCCTCCCTGAGGAGAGGAGAGCTCTGGGTGGGGCTGGCTGTGTCCGGAACATGGGTGATTTCTGGGACAGTCTTTCTTTTCAGCAAACACGTACTGAGCATGTTCTCCATGTGACCTGGCTCTGGGCCCTGGGGACACAGGGACGCCCAGTCTGCAGCCATCGGGACACTTAACAACGCACGAGTTTGTCTGGGTCACCCTCCAACTAAATGCCTGCTAAAGCTGTCCACAGTCCTTCATTTAAAGACCAGCATTCTCCCCGTGGCCCACGAGGCCCCAGCCTACCTCTCCAGCCTCACCGCCCACTTCCTCCTGCCTTATTTTGTTGCTCTGGCATGTTCATCTCATTTCAGTTTTTTGTCCACACCACCATCCCACCTCAGGGCCTTTGCACATACTGTTCCCTCTGCTTGGTACGGTTTCCCTCTGCTCCCCATCCCAGCTGCTTCCCCCTCTTTTTTGCCCAGGTAGAATTTATTTCTGTAGTGAAGAATGAAAATATGGCTGTGAAAGTAGGAAATCATATAGAAAAATATGGAAGAGGTGCAACAGTCCTTTTTAGAATAAAGTTAGTTAAAATAAAGATGAATAAAGCACTAGATATTAAGCTTCATTTCCATTTGAAAGACCAACCAGTGTTTTACGTATTATTAACTACATGAGGAAAAATACACCCATATGCAGTTTTAATTAATAGCTATGGTTCAAAAACAGATATGCTCCCAGCATTCAGAGCTTTTCCCAATTGTCATGTTCCCAGGGCCTGATCCCCCACACTGGGTCAGACCCTCCCATTACAAACTCTCAAAGCACCCCATGACCGCCTTTCATCATGTTCACTAGAGCTCATGATCATACATTTATGTGTTGTTACTCGATTCATGGCTGTTTCTTTCACTGGATATTAACTCCATGAAGGCAGGGGCCAGGTCTGTTTGTATCAGCTTCTAGCCCAGGGATTGCTGCGCCATAAGTCATTGTTTCATGCAGGATTTGATTGTAGCCCACATGGGGGTGGAGGGAAAATTCAGACCCAGGAGCCATCACAATGCGTGGAGGTGAGTACTTTACTGAAGGGCTTCTTGGTAGAGAAAATTCCATAAAGAGGTCATAAAGGATTGGGCATTGAAGGATGAGTAGGATCTCATTAGGCAGGAGGTGACCATGCCCAGTAGAGGGGACAGCACCTTTCAACAAAGGAGGGGGTGCTGAGGCTCAGAGGCTTTAAATGACACGCCCAAGTCACCCAGCTACTAAGTGGCTTACCCTCCTGTCCCATGTCCCCAGTGGCATATGTCATGGACCTGAGACGACTCATGAGGGTTCTGGTGTTCATCTGGTGTCCTCCTACCTCCACCCCCAGGCTGGTGCCAGGGAAATGGTGACTGTCAGCAAAGTACTCCATGGGGGTCCTTTTGCTCCCACATCTGTGTCCTGGGTGCAGGATCTCAACCTTCTTGCCCTCCCCACCCTCTCAGAGAGAGGCTGCTTACTCTGGTGCTCCCCAATCTTGACACTTAACACCCTAAACCGGCTCTATCCCTCTCCAGGCTGCCTTCCTTACCGTCTTTTGTGGGGGGTAGATCTCCAGGGCCCTGCGGGTACCCAGGACAGAGGAGAAGGTGCTTATTGAATACACACACGTGCACACACACACATACACACACACACACGCTAACCGGGACGGGGCAGCTCTCTTACCTTGGACTGGAGCTGAGGAATGACTAACTGGACCCCCAGGTCTATGGGGAGCCCCTCCCTTCCTGCCCAAACCAGATGACACAGCTGTTTGCTGCCTGCGCCTAGCCACTAGGACAAAGGGAAGTCACTTCACCTCTCTGAGCCTCACTTTCCACATCTAGCCTATGAATGTCCATTCTGACTGCCGGAGGGGTAGCTGAGACCAGAACACAAAAGGCACTGTGAGCTGTGAATGCTAGGGGTTGGCAACTGCTTCCAGCTCAGGCTCCTTAGGGTCAAGCCAGTGAGGATCCCCTCCTCCCAAAACACCTTCGGCGTTGGCTTTGGGAATTCACAGCAGGAAACAACGGAATCAAGTGCTTAAAGAAACCTCATACTCATATTCTTAGCCCTGTGAACACTAGTGCCTCCTGGTGGTCATATGCAGACCCTGCAGGGGCATGCTTTCCAGGGGCGGTGCATGGACCCCATTCACTCTTCAGCTGAGCTTGCTGACAGGTTCAAGCCCCAGGGCTCTTCGTTTTGGGCCGAAATAGTGGCTCTGGAGTCAGACAAACCTGGCATTGAGTCCTGACTGCGGCTACTCTAGGTTGCATGTACTCTAACGCTGGACCAGCCCCACTCCTGTTTTGCTGGGCTGAGTCCAGAGCTCCCGTGTGGACCCTGTTGGGGAGATACCTGTGTAGCTCACGTGCCAAACACTCAAAGCCAAGGGCTCTCAAAGGGGAATTAACCTCTCTGAAGCAGTGCACTAGTTTCCTCAGAGCCCTCGAGGGGATTATCATTTGTCCTCAATCATTGTCTGTTTCTGTAGGGAAACAGGGGCACAGAGAGGGTATGGCTTTCCCAAAGACACTTTGTTTCTAAGATTAGAACCCGGGTCTCACTCATTCTGAACCCCAGGTACTCATCGTGGCTCACAGCTTCCCCATATTGTCCACCAACAGTCAGCAGACCTTGGGGGTGTTGTTTATTAAATCACAAAACCCCTCCACCGGCCAGAGGGGGAGAAGATCACTGTCAAGTGGTTGTGGGTGGAGCATCTAATCCTGACATTTGAATGGGGAGAAAACTGATGGCCACAAGTCAGTGGTGCGGCCTGTTTGGACAGTGGTTTGGGGAGCGCATGACAGTGTGAGATGAGGTGAGAAAGTCCCTGTGGTCTCAATCCCAGGGAGACAAAACGCATTCAACCCCAGAACATAGTTGAGGTCTGTAGCAAGTCAGATTTCCCCCTTATCTCCCAGAAGGATTAACAATCTTTCTAAGGAAGAGCAGCTTATTCATTCCATTCTCCCTAATCATCAGCAGAAAGTGTTTGTTTATCTTGACCTTAAACGGTGTCTCCACGGGCAGTGTCTGTGCTCCAGAGCCCGCGGCCCACTCTGTGCCCTTCTCATCCATCTTCAGGGTAGCCTTGTGCATCGCCTGAGGGAAACAGGAGCGAAGTCAGTGCTTGCGAAGCCACTTGGAGGTCCTGGATGGGCAAAGGCCAGCAAGAGGCCCAGAGAGGGAGAGGCCTTTGCCAGAGTCACCCAGCACAGCAGTAACTTGGCTGGTGCCAGCTGCCCCAGGGCTCCTGGCTTTTCTGCTGTCATCACTGAAGGATGCTCAACAGTAGATGCAGCATGAAGGAAAGAAATGATGCAGGGGGGGCATCAGCTACAGGGAGGGGGACAGAGTGGGGTTTGCTATGTTTCCCATGACTTACAGGGCAGCATCAATGGTAATAATGGCAGAAAGGCTATCCTGAACTTTAGCTAGATGGAAGGGAGATGGTGGCATCCCTGGCCCAAAGCCTCCAGCCCGCTTCACACTCCTTTCATCCTCCCGGTGGAACGTTAAGAAGGAGTCAGATTCCAGGGACTGATGACTCAGAGCCCAGATCCACCTGAAACGCATCAACATCTGTCACTAAGTAATTGACACTGGGAAATTGATGGGCTTCTGTGAAATACTGGTACATTTCATTCCATTCTACAAAATGCTAACAATTTTACTGGCAAGCCAAGAGCTGATGTTTACGCATAGAATTGCAGCTATCAGCACATCTGACTGCGGAAAAGAAAAGGGCCATTGAACTCAATAAAGGCCTATAGGAAAGGGGCAGGTGGTATGGAATGTTTATGCAAAGTCTGCAGCAGGAAAACTTTTAAAAGCAATAAAGTTCTATTAACTGTCTTTCTTCCTGTTGCAAGCTAGAAAATACAGCTGAGTGATCCACCTACTGTCAGCTCATCTTGGCAACTCAGATCCTTCCTAGATTGGCTTGAATTTAGCCCCAGCCAATCCCCAGCCACTTGGGCTCCACGCCTTCCCACTTCCTATCCTTAGGCCATGCTGCTCCCCCTACAGGTAGATCTTGCCCGCACCCTTCTCTGCTTGCTGAAATCTTCCCCTTTCTCAGTGCCCTTTAAGCCTAAAAGTAGGGTTCCAGATAAAATACAGGATGTCCAGTTAAATTTGAATTTCAGATAAACGATGAAATTTTTAGCACAAGTATATCCCATGCAATATTCAGGATATATTTATACGAAAAAAAATCATTCATCACTTATCTGAAATTTGAATTTCACTGGTGTCCTGTGTTTTATCTGCTAAATCTGGGCACCCTACCCCGAGTGGTCCTCTCTGACTGCTGCCAATAGGCAGGTGCTCAGCCTTGCTGGAGACCATGGAGTCCTTTGCTTGCTTATCTCTACATTACGTAGAACATGTTTACGACTTAATCCTCGCAAGCCTGGGTCAGTTCTAGGCCTGATGAATGTTCCAAGCCTCCATCCATTGTTTGCTGCATTGAATCAACTTCCAAAGTAGGACCAGGAGATTGATGGTTCAGATTTTAAAGACTAGAAACACGAGGCTTGGGAGGTTATGTGATTTGCTCAGGATCAATATGGCTGGTTAGAGGCGGAGCTGGATTCAGCCCTGCCTGACTGGTGGGTGAACTCTTGGCTCGTACAGCTGCTGTGACAGTGGCTCTGGCCTGGGGCTGTATGAAGACTCCCTGTGCTGGAGGGGGCAGCGTTGGGCCAGGCAGGCTTACCTCACCCACTTTCAGGCTTCGATGACGGGAGATTCTGGTGAGATCACCGTATTCCTCAAAGATTCTGGTGATGCCCAGGTAGGAGAGAGTCTTCTTCAGGTCGAGGTTTCCGGTGATGAACACCCGGGGCACAAACACATCTGTGACCCTAGGGAGTAGAAAGTGACACAGATGAGCAGAAGGACCCTGCCGCTTTTCCAGGCAGCTTTAGGAGAGGTGATGATGAGGCATTTGTCCTCCCAGCCCCTGAGGTCTCAGAACTCCTCTCCATCCACAGAATGAGGAGAGGCTCCTTAAACCTGGGATGGGGTTTTAAAACATCCATGCTCTCTGAACTGTGTTCCTATTTCCCATCAAAACTGCCCGTGTCCTCATCCACAGAAATGTCCTCGAGTCCCCACGTCTCAGGACGCCTTCAGCGCAGCCATTGAGGGTCTCCCCACTGTAGCCTCAGCCATGCCCAAGCCCTGAGCTAATCGTGACCCCAGCGACCTGGTGCTAGAAGCAGCAGAGCCCTAAGGTCGGAAGCCAGGCAGAACTGAGTTCAAATCCACTCTGCCTTCCGTGAGCTCTGTGACTCGGAGCAGATGATTTCACCTCTCTAAGCCACTTGTATGAAAATGACGATGGTAGCACCCACGGGGCCAGAAGAGGGCTAAAGCGAAGGCGTGGAAGGTTCTCAGCAGCGTCAGTGTCTCCCCTTGGCCTTGAAGGAGTAGCTTCACGTCCTCCGTGGGTGGGACCTGGGTTGGCCTCCCTGCCCCGGGCCTGGGGTCAGATGTCCTGAGGCACCTGTGGACTCCTGTCCACCTGGGCTCCTGTCCACCTGGTCGTGGACCCCATTTCTTCTTGCCTCTGCAAGGACCTCATTCCTGCCTTCGTTTCCTTTTTCTCCTGCACCGTCCATAAATGACATCTACTGGATCACCCTCCGGGGCAGACTGCAGGCTCTAACAGCCCCCACCCTCAAATCAAAAGCAAAAACATCTCCCTTGGCCCCTAGTCACGCCTCCAGCTTCCAGCCCATGTCTTTTCTTTCTTTCAGGGCAGAAGCTGTCTCTACCATCTCCACGTTCTCCCATTATTGCCTCAACCCATTTCTCCAGAGTTGCCGCTGACCTTGCCTTGCTAGAGCCAGCAGCCAAATGTCCGCGAGCGGCACCAGACAGTCAACGCTTTGCTCCATTTCGAAGCGCTCCCACCCACGTCCACGCCCTCTGCTCTCCCCGTCCTCTACTGCCACTCCTCTCGTCCTCCGCGGCTCCGCCTCCTTGCCTGTCTCATCACTATGGTGCTCCCAGGCTCCCCACTGCTCCTCTTCTCTTGTATATCTTTTCTTCCTCCTGAGGGATCTCATTCTGTGTCGTGGATTTAAACACCAACAGTAGGCCCGGTGACTCTCAAACTTACCTTTCCACTCATCCATTCATTCAACACATTTTTTTTTTTTTTTTTTCGGTACGCGGGCCTCTCACTATTGTGGCCTCTCCCACCGCGGAGCACAGGCTCCGGACGCGCAGGCTCAGCGGCCATGGCTCACGGGCCCAGCCGCTCCGCGGCATGTGGGATCTTCCCGTGACCGGGGCACGAACCCATGACCCCTGCATCGGCAGGCGGACTCTCAACCACTGCGCCACCAGGGAATCCCCATGAACGTTTATTTTTAAAGCAATTTCCAACAAGACTTTAGGTCACCCCAAAGAGGTTTCAGTACAAAATGTTGAAACTCTTTCCTAAAAAAAAAAATCTAGGCAGGTAAGAAAAAAAAAAAAAAAAAAAAAGAAGAAGAGAGGTATAAATACAAGTCATAAGAAATTTAGGAAGTATTCTGTAAATAGTAAAACTCGTTGCATCCAAGATGGCATTTTGAAACAATGGAGACAAGGTAATCAATTCTACAAATATTGGGAAATGAACACATCATTTAAAAATTAAATTAAGTTAAAGGAAAATCTGTTAGAGTGAACTTCCTAAGCACTCTATATACAAAAGCCAGAAACCATGAAAGGAAAGAGGGATATAAAGTAATATCATGTTTTAAAACTCTGCACAGCATACACAAAATAAGGACCAATCACAAACAGGAACGTGTGTGCGTGGTAGGGACCTAATGGTCTTCACAATGGAGACTTCTTATGCATCAGTAATAACCATATATGCTCCTTAATGGGCAGGTAAGGAATGTGGGGAAACATGCATTGAAGCATTGTGAATGGGGTCTGGCTTTGCTTTTCTTCATCTCATTCTCTTTATCTTACTTTCTCCGTTATCCTTATCTCGGCAGAAACAGACACTTTCACACATACTGTTGACAAAAATTCAATTAACTTTCAAGTCAAGAAGAAAAGAAGGAAATTTTATTCACACCAAACTGAGGATCATCACCCAGGAAGCAGATTCTCAGAAAGCTCTGAGAACCGTTCCACCTGTGAGACGTCGAGGGCGCCGTCATATACGTTTTCAAGACAAAGGATTGTACATCAAAATGATCCACGGCTATTTCACATGAAGGTCACCAAGGGTCCACAGTCCAGGTATGCACATGGACAAAGCAAGCAGCGAGTCACCGTGTTCAGTGGGGGCCAGGGGGATGCGCTGGGTCTATGGCTACCCGAGGAGGCCGATCTCTTGCTAGTCATCCTGAAACCATGCCTCACAGGCACAGAAGCTGGTGCCTTAACAGAAATCCTTGAGTGTGCAGGACTGAGTGTTCTGTGCCGTTACAGAACAGCAGACAAGGGAACAGCCTGTTCAAAAACCCTCTGCCTGTAACCCGCCTTTACTGATTAAGCTGCTTTCTTTTTTTTCCCTTTAATTGCATACCCTCCAAGCTTCATGTAGCCAAGGTAACATCACAAGACTTCCTAACCACCGCTATAGATAACACCACTGATGTTTGGGGCACTAAAGTAATGGGGGGCTTTAGTTGTTTTCCAGAAACCTGGAGTCAGCGCCTGCCCAGTTCAAGCTGGCCAAGACTGGTTGGGACCGCCGACTTCCAGACTGGGCCAGCACAGGTGTCTGACGGATGACCTTTTGATGTTGGAGGGCTGAAAACTCCGCCCTCATATTATGCTAAGCCCTTCCATTTTTGAACATGTATCCCATGAAGAAGCATGTAACCCAGATATGCCTGCGAAGAACACTGATTCCCTCACTTTCTCCCCCTGCCAATCTGCTTTCCCCACATCTAAGACCACCCAGCTTACTTATCCTATGAATATCTCAAGTCTCTCGCCTTTGGTGGACGTTTGTTCTTCTGTTTCCTCACTTGGCTGCCTTGTCAATAAACTTTCTCTGCCGCAGACCTCGGCATCTCAGCGTACGGCTTGCTGTGCGTCAGGCATACAAGCCTGGTGTGGCAACAATGCTGTCAATCGGTTCCACTTTAAATAACACAGACCTAAGTCTAGCCAGGACCAGAGTCCAGTGCAACAGCAGAACAACAGAAGAAAATCTTCATGGGAGGAACATTGTAAATTGCAGCCCCTCCCCGCTCCCCTCCCGCCCCAAAGCCCCTAATTTAAGGTTTTATTACCCTTCAGGATAAGCCCACTAAAAGTGTCCAGATCCCAATTCTAATGGGGGGATGGGTAGTTTACCTCCCCCCACTGAGTGTCCCACAATTTAACTCCATTCTGACACTATCTACCCAGAGATCGCCTCAGATTCCACAAGTTACGGATTCAGCGCCCCCTCTCCCCCAACTTCAGATGCCGGTCACAAGTCCAGGTTGTTACCTGTGCTTCTGATCAACTGACTACAAATCAGAGGTTCCCAAGACACCCTCTCTGGGTTTGATTAATTTGCTAGAGTGGCTCACAGAACTCAGGAAACCCATTTACTCGGTAGATTACTGGTTTATTGTAAAAGGATATAACTCAGGAACAGCCCTATGGAAGAGATGCATAGGGAAAGGTAGGGGGAAAGGTCATGGAACTTCCATGCCCTCTCCGAGCCCCACTCTCCCCAGATCTCCCTGTGTTCACCAACTCAGAAGCTCTTTGAAACCTGTCGTTTTGTGTTTCATGGAGACTTCATTACATATTCGTGATTGATTAAATCATTGGCCTTTGGTAGCCATTCACCCTCCAGGCTCTCTCCTCTCCCCAGAGGACAGAAGGGTGGGATGGAAAGTCCCAGTCCTCTACTCACACAGTTGGTTCTCCTGGCAACCAGCCCCTCATCCTTAGGTTACCTAAGCGCTTTCCAAGAGTCACCTCATTAACATAACAAAAGGCATCTTTATTGATCTCATCACAGGAAATTCCAAGTGTTTTCGGAGCTCAATGCTGGAAATGGAGGAAAAAAAACAAACACATATTTCTTATTATATCACAATACTACACCCGCCAATTTGATTCCAGCAGTGTGTGCACATGCACACACACATATACACACACACAAGCACACACACACACATATATAAATTTAATTCTTTGTATGAGGGAAGGGCTGCTATAACTCCCACTATACAGATTAGAAAATTGAGGTTCGGGATAGTGAACAATCTGTCGAATATCATATTGTTAGTAAGTGGATGTACATCCTCCTAAGAATATCTTGATATAAAAGAAAGAAAAAAATTAAATGTAGAAGCTATTAGCGGAAAAAGTTTGGGAGAAATTGAGGAAAAACTGGGACTCTCTCCACAGCTCCACTTAAGGTCATTGCTATTAAGTGCTGAGCTCTTGGGGACAGCCTGCAGCATATTTGTCAAACTCTCCCATCATGCTGGGCTCGGGGACAGAGAGAAGAGAAAGGCAGGGCTGAGCAGGCTCGGAGAAGGGAAGTGGGCAGACGGGATGAGGCAGGAGGTAGATGGGCCCCAGGCTGAGTAGCTGCAGTGTGTCCCCTGAGGACAGACACTTCAAGATCAATATAATGGCAGGAGCAGAGAGGAGCGCTGAGCCCTGCTTGGGTAAAACGATAAGGTGGCTACATATTCCTCATCCTTGAGGTCAAGGAGACCTCCCAAACTACACCTTCGCAGAAAGGTTCCTCAGGGGTCAGAGAAGGGAGAGGTCACTAGCCCATAATATGTCCTGCTGACATCCCAGAGACCCTCGCACTGGAATCCTTCTTGGCTAAAAGATGTCATGCACATCTGGAAGGGCCCTGAGTCAGATCAAATATGGACATTGAGCCAGACAACGCGAGATGTTTGGCCAGAGGGAACCTGGAAAACTGCCCCCGTATAAATGTTTAAACCATCCCAAGGCGGCCGACACTGTCTGAACCCACCCATGTGTCTTTCTGCACCTACTTTGCTTCTAATAAACGCTCGATCTGCTTTACAAATTTCCGTCTCTTTGCTGAAGTTCTTTCTCTGAAGAAGGCAAGAGCCAGGGCCCTGCTTCTAGCCACTAGAAGTGGCTCAGGGGTCCAGTGGTTAGGATTCAGCACTTGCGCCGCCGCGGCCTGATTTGATTCCCAATCAGGGAGCCGAGATCCTGCTTCAAGCCGCAGCACACTGTGGCCACCCCAAGTCAGGGACAGGCAGAGACTTGGGTGGGGTGGGCTCACTGTTGCACGCGCCCATCACAGGCGCACACTGAATGAAGTCAAGGCCTCCAAACAGCCCAGCAGCGTCTGGCTTCCCTCATCCACTCTCAGCCCCACTCTCAGGGAGGCACTGTGGTCCCGAGGTGCAGCACAGGTCCTCAAGCCAGGGAGACCTGCATTCTAATCCCGGTCAATCACGCATTAGCCGGGCCACCTGGCCCAGGTCGCCTCGCCTCTCTCTGCCTCACTGTTTCCATCTGTCCAATGGGATCACAGAAGTACCTGCTTTGCCCACTCCACCAAGATGTTAGCAATGCTATCAAATGCAACAGGCAATGTGAAGGTGGCAATTTAATAATAATTAGTAATAATAGCAGTAATTAATAATAATAGTAGTAGTAACGGACATGAGGAACAGCTGATTCTGGTCTTCCAAGTCACGTACTGCTCATCCTTTTCATCCTCTGGCATCTAGAGAGAGTGTGTTGGGGGCTTCACGCTGCTGGAGGCCCAGGAGCAGGGCAGTTCTTCCCCATCAAATAGAAAATGCTAGAATAATGGATCAGGCAGTGAGAACAGAGTTTTAAGGAAGGCTGAGGTCTGTAGGTAATCTAGTTAGCACAGGAAAAGAAGTCCGTCTTTGGGTAACTACTGGGTGTTTTATGTGCTACAGTGCAGCAAGGATGGGAAATACTCATTTCTGAGTTTTTAGAAATTGAGGAAAACAGAATGGCTGTCTACCTGAGACCAAGGAAAGGGCCAAGGGCTGGGGAAGCCGAGCTATGTGGGTGAAGAAGTGATGTGGAAACCCCCAAGGCTATACATCATTTTCCAGCATTGCTCCACGCAATCCCACACGGGGTCCAGGACCAGCCACAAGCCACAAGTGCAGAAATGAGGAATGACAGAGCTCTGGAAGCTGTCATCACAGGCTTACCCTGCGGATGGAAGGAGGCACCAGGCATATCAGGAAAATGCAAAGGAAGGTTCCTTTCATTCATCCATGTTTCCAGCACTCCTTCCAAGATGAAAGAAAGCAGTCTGGTGAAAACCATGCATGGACTGGTAAGAAGGTGCCCTTTACTTGCAAGGGTATGCTCTCAGCTGACATCGCCTGTTTGCTGATACCAGATTGTCCTTTTACAGAGGACTGGCTCTACAATCCAGAATAAAATGAAGGACAATTGCTTTTGGAGAAAGAATATATTGATTGAGACTTACTCATACTAAGATGTAAATGACTGCTATCTGATACTATTCATGGGGGCAAGGAAAGAAACAGCAGAGCCCTGGGAATCTGAAGCAGGGGAGAAAGACCTCTGAGTTGGGAGAGATCAGAGAATGGGGAAACAGAAGGGCAGGGGTCGGAGGATTCGATCTGGGGTCAGAAAATCTGGGTCTGGTCTCCATACCCGCCACTGTCCAACTGCACCACCTCCTCAAGATACTTCATCTCTCATGAACTTGATGTCCTCACCCATAAAATTGGGGAGGAATGCTTGAGAAATCCACTGGGAGGATTCATTGAACTAGTGCCTGTAACAGGGGCGGTATAAAGCACCACTGCCTCTGTATAAACTGTTCCATGACTTTGGAATTTTGCAGGGGTCCCTCAGGGCCAGACCAGTAGCTTTCATACTCTTCCCTTCAGAGATAAATAAAAAAAAATACTGCGTGCTAGCTTGAAATCTGTGTGATGTTAGGATTAAAACCTACACATCACACAACCACCAACAGTCTCCAGGCACGTTTCTAAACACCAGAAAAACCTGACCAGTCAGCTCCTGTGTCGCTTCCAAGGCCAGAAATGATTTCCCTCCTCAAATGACCAGCCAAGTCATTCTGGTTGTTTCCTGGGGGTTCACAGCCTGAGAAGAGGTGTGGGTCTGGAAAAGGTCAGATTCCTTGTGCCTCCTCAAATCTTACCATGTCTCTGTGCCTCAACTTGCTCACCTGTAAAATGGGCATAATCCTGTCTACCTCCCCTCTGTTGAGATAATCCGTGCAAAGCCCTTGAGCTGTGTCTGAGACACGGAGGCGCTCTGTGGGAATCATTGCTTAATCCTTACCATTATTATACATCATTTAAATTATTATTTTATGGTGACACTGCTCACGGAGATGGAGCCACAGAAGGCAGAGCATCTCCACAGATACGTCCGCGTCTCGCCACACCCACCCACCTCCCAGTCGCAGCTGTCTCCCACCTGGCACGCTCTGGCGGCCTTGGGTGCGCCGGGCTGGGCAGGAGGCTTGTGCCGCAGATGTGTGGGCGGGGCTGGATGCCGGAACCAGGAGGCAGGTGCTCTCAGCCAGTCCTTGGCGGCTATGACTCAACTCTCAGGTACAGCTGGCGGAGGTGGGGAGCAATGCTCTGAATTCAGTGCCAGGTGCGGGGGTGAGGGAGACTGGGCGCGGCCCTGGGGGGGGGGTCTTGGGAGATGGCTCTGAAGTCTGATTTGGGCATGGTCGCTGACCTTGGGGTGGGATGAGATTTGGGTCCATGTAGGCATTTGGGAGGAGGCCTGCAGGTGGGCCCAGATGTTCTCTGGACCAGTGTATCTGATCCCAGGGACTTGATCTAGGCCAGTGTAGGCACTTAGGGGGCCCATGGGAAGTGCAGGGCCCAGGGGCTTCTGAGGTGGTGGCAACTGGTGGCTGGAGACAGGCAGGGGGTGGAGCTTTGAGTCCACGGTCATTTGAGTCAGGGCTTCAGTAGCCACGGGCGAAGGGGAGTGGAGTCCAGACCATGGGGGGTGGGAGTGGGCAGGGGGACAAGAGGCTGGGTGCAGGACAGGGAGAAGAAGCATTAAATCAAGACCTGGAAGACTGCTCTGATCGCCTAGCGCGTTCCCTGGAGCTCTTCTTTGCCACAAAGACTGTTTTCTCCCACCCTCTCACTCTGGCGGGGCGGGCGGGGGGCAGTTTCTGACCTTGCCGTTCTCTCTGTGCTGTGGTCTCTGCCGCGTCTCCCTGAGTGTGAAGCGCATCCCCCTGGATTAGTTTATTCATAGCGTTCAGCACTTCTGAAATGGTCTTCTTTCATCTGCCTGCCTACTTCTGCATGGCTGGCCTTCGAGTGTTTGGATACCAGCTCCTTGAGAACAGAACCTGGCACTGACCGCAGCTGCACCCCCAGCTCCTGGAACAGACTAGGTGTGTGCTCAGGGCACAGACCCGTGGGGTGTTGGGAAACCTGCGTGAGGCCAAGGACTTGAGTTAGACACTGGACGGGGACTCGTGAGACGGCAGCGTGGCAGGGACATGCTGTGGGTTTTGAGTCAAACAGACCTGGTTTGAAGAACTGTCTCAGCTACTAGCTAGTTACCTCAGCCCTGGCAAACTCCTGCAGCTCCCAAAGCCTCTGTTTCCTCAACTGCATAGTTCAGGAGAAACGTAGGAAATGTCTCAGCTCACAGCATCTGAGTCAGCGGGAGATACTGGGTTTCAAGAAGGCCCAGGTTGCGAGAGCTGTGACGTGAGGCTGCCAGAAGCTTCCACCTGCTCCGACCTTTGCACAGGTTTGTGTGCCAGCTTTATTCTCTCTCTCTCTGCAAACTGGCTTCTGCTGTGATCAGCTGGGCTTCCGTCAGAGCAGCAAAACCAAGGTGAATGATGGGATATAAGGGATTACTCCAGGGATGAGGTTCCTCAGGGTTCTGGGAGCTGGTGAGAAGTCTGTGGAAGGTCCCTGCATCTGGTGGCCAGCCATCTGGTGGTGATAGTGATAGTGGTGCTGGTGGTGTAGTGTTGGTGACGGTGGTAGTAGTGACAGTGGTGGAGGCAGTGTAGACAGTCAACAAATCCTTATCCTAATAAATATTTAATTACAATTTCTGGCTGACAGAAAAAGTGCTGTTATATCCCTTTTTCTTGAAATATGTTTTAATCTTCAAGCCCCTCAGCTTTGATGTGTTTTCGGTCATCTATCCCTAACTGGGAATAAAGGTTCTGAAGGGATCCAGGTAGCCTTTGACAGACAGGTGGGAGAAATAGCAGAGGGTTCCTAGAGTGGGACAGGGGGTGCCCAAGATGGAATTCCCACTCTCAGCCTCCCCTCCACTACCATTCATTCATTCATTTGTCCAAGTCTTCACTGACTGTTTCTCTGGGCCTAGCACTGTGGTAGCCTCCGGGGCTACAATGCTAAAATATTCCCCCAGGTTGCCACAAATGTAGGTTTTCCCTACAAAAATACAATGGTTCCCTCTCCTTTTATCTGGAATCCAGTGGGAGAAAGGTCTAAAAATTCATCTCTAGGTTTGCTATGTCAAAGTCTGCTGATCTAGATAATTAAGTCCCCACACCCAGATATTTAATAAAAGGAAAAAGAATACAGGCATATAACCCCTCAGCTGAACTCCGTGATCGAGTGGCAAAGGAATTGAGGTGACAATCAGGGTGGCCAGAGTCTTGGGAATTTGGGGGGTTTCAGGATTCGCCTGGGAGGGAGTGAGAAGGAGGGAAGGAGGCCAAGGGGTCCAGGCGGGCAGAAGCCCCTCTGGACCTGGAATGCAGCCTGGGGAGAGCCCCCTGCAGTGCGGACAGGAGGCACTGAGCACGATCAGGTGATCTCCAGGTTGGCACGTGCCACCGATGGCTTTCCTCCCCACTCTGTCTCTAATCGAACGGATAAAGTGTGCCAGCAGCTCTCATCTCCCACCTGGATGGTGGCAGCCACAGCTATAGGGGTTTCTTTGGATGATGAACGCTCCGCTCTGCCTCTAGAGGATTGTGGTAGAAAACAGCTTTCTCTGTCACTTCTTGGGCTGCCTGTGATCCTGTTTCCTTTCTGTCCTTCCCAGCAGTTTCTAAAGAGATGCCCTAAGCCAACATTCCCTTGAACTTCTCTCTCAACAGGACTTTGATTCTGGAGCCGTTGCATAACGTCACTTTCTAAGGGGGCCCAACCTCCCACCATCAGTCTGCCTCGCTGAACTGCTCCTGTTTCCGAAGCAGCCCCGCAGGAGTCTGGTTCTCTGCTGCGGTGCTGGGTCTTCGAAGAGAAAGCAAGGGCATCTTCCATCGCCGGGTAAGCGTTTGTCCTCACAGCTGGGCTTTCTGCAGTTCACCACTCCCCCACGCGTTGGCCTCTACCCACCTTTCCAGAAGCATTCCTGCTAGCCCTTCACATCTAGCCCTTCACAGCTAACGCTGCACATCCCTTCTCCCAAACATCCCGGGGCTGCACTGCCTCTTGGAAACTCCCTCCCATCCAGCTCCCTGTAGCTGCAGACAAATAGATCCTTCAAGTCAAATTCCAACACCTCCAGAGAGCCTCCGGGGTTGTTTGCAGTTAGAAGAGGCCACACCCTTCTCTTCCCCACTGTACCTGACCTGCACGTTTCCTAGGGCACGGCTCATGGGCTGTTTGCTGCGTGTCATTTGCTCACTGCCCTGGTTTCAACACTACTTTCACCAAGAGCACCCATGACCCGATGAACCTGTCTGTCCAGTCCGAGGCTGGTGGACATGGAGTCTCACTGCCTTCAGCCACGGGGGTGTGGTCAGCAGACAGAGCTCAGCTCTCGGCTCCTTTAACCGAGCAAGATGGGGATTTAACAATCCAGCCAATTCAGCCCAAGATGGACAACTCTACTGAACAATGTTCCCTCTTGGCCAAAGTTTTGTGGGGCTGGTAATGCAGTTCCACTTTCCCGTCTGCTCCATCCTGCCTCCCCTCACTTCCATTCACAGGTGTTGATCACCGCCAAGCATCTTCTACCCAAACTCCAACTCAGCCAGCAGCGCTGGGCCTTCTCCTGGGCTTCTTCGTTTGCTCTTTCATTCGGCAAATCTTGATCCAGCCCTGGCCACGTGCAGACACCGTTCTGAGCAATTGAAATTTGGCAGCAAACAATGTGGGACTTAAAGACCTGTGGGGAGAGAGACTAGAAACAAGCAAATAAACGAAAAAGATACTGTAAATGCTGTGAGAATGGACAAGTAATGGATCAGAGAGTGACTTGGAGGTAACCACCCTGGATGGAGGGAGCGTATGGAAAAGCTTCTCTGAAGAGGAGATGTTTGATCCAAGTGCTGAAGGTGGACAAGGAGCCAGCCATGGGAAATGCTGTTGTATCGGGTTATTTTTGTCTAACTGCCCTGGACATCTCACCAAATGCTCCCAGGTCCCAAGTGGCCTCCCCTGTCCCCAGTCCTTACTACACTCCTCTGCCTGTGTTCATGACCTCGGGGGACGCCACGCCTGTCCACCAGGCACTCAGCCCAGATCCTTGCAGTCCCCCTGCCCCCTCCCTGTCCCTCATCACCAGGTCCTGCTGCCACCAATCTTCTGGGGCGACCACACCCCCAAGCCAACCGCAGGCTGCCAGCACCTGTCATCAGCTCTTGCAATACTCACCTGACAGGTTGCCCTTCTCCATCTTTCACTATCCTTCTTGCTCTTCTTTTTTTTTGATACAATGTTCTTTTTTTGTAAATTAAAAAAAATTTTTTTTTTTGGCTGCATTGGGTCTTTGTTGCTGCACGCGGCCTTTCTCTAGTTGTGGCGAACAGGGGCTACTCTTCAATGTGCTGTGCGGGCTTCTCACTACAGTGGCTTCTCTTTGCTGTGGAGCATGGGTTCTAGGTACATGGGCTTCAGTAGTTGTGGCACACGGGCTCAGTAGTTGTGGCTCGCGGGCTCTAGAGCGCAGGCTTAGTAGTTGTGGTGAACAGGCTTAGTTGCTCCGCGTCATGTGGGATCTTCCCAGACCAGGGATCGAACCCGTGTCCCCTGCATTGGCAGGCGGATTCTTAATCACTGCACCACCAGGGAAGTCCTGAGATCAGTTATTTATTGCCATAATAATGCTGCATAACAAACAACCATAAAACTTCAGTGGTATATGATCGGCACTGGTGGTGTGTATGAATGGAGTCAGCTAGGGGACTGGGTGCTGTTGATTTTTTTCTGGGCTTTGCTGGCATGTCTGGAAGTTGGCTGACTGCCACCTAATCTAAGCTGGCTTCCCCCAGGTTGCTGCACCAGCTGCTGACGCAGCTCTGTTCCACATATCTCTCATTCTCCCTTAGACCAGCCTGGGTATCTTCTTCTCCTGGTGATGACAGAGGCAAAAGAACTCAAGTGGAAATATGCAAGGCCAGGGCTGAGAACTAGTAACCTTAGTCTGCTGGCCAAAGTAAGTCTTGTGGTCGAACCCGGGATCCGAGCGGAGGGCACTACACATCGATGCGCAAAGCGAATGTGTGCAGGAAGGGGTGAAGAGTCGGGGTGATGTTTGTAACCTACACCAGGGATGCCTAAGATCATGAGCACATAGAAAAATGAAGACATTAATGGTCCCTATTCTTGGTGTGAGAGCGCTCAGCAAATGTAAGCTAATGTTATAATCCTTATCATGCCTGTGAAGTATACGTTACAGACCCCAATACCCGGTAAAGGGGGTCAAAGCTAGTGTTCTCACTGCTCCAGATAAACTTGCAGGAACTCACAGACCTTCGCTCTGTCAGCCTCACAGTTCCGAGCCCTCCCCTCCACTGCCAACTGTGAACCCGCTTCAGATGCCTCTCATTTCTCCTCTGCTCTGGTTGGGGAAGATGCGCTATTCATCTCTGTGAGCGGGAGCTCCTGCCTGGTGCCCGTCGACGCACAACCCCTCCCAGATTGCTCAGGACCTCCAGTCACAACCTGTTCTCCAGTCGCATTTGTTCTCCTTTTCAGTATGGTCCTGACCTGCTCTTCTGACCTCATCTCTTCTTTTTCTGCCATTTTTACCCTGCGGTTCAGTCAGATGGGATCACTACCCCTCCCCTGCCACATTTGCCAGGCCCCGTGCTCGATGTCAGTCACGGGCTGGCTGCTGGTCTCTCCAAATCATCTTCACTCTGGAACCCAGATTCCCTCCCAGCCTCGGTGGAGGTGGGAAAAGAACAGGGTGAGCTGTGCTTGCTCGTGAAACCTGGTCCCAGAAGGGACATGCATCACTTCTGCACTTACTTGAATGCCCAGAGTCAACACATCAACTTTTCTTAGGGAGGGGGCAGCAGTCTACTCCAGGTTCACAATCCCTGAAACTCTTTGCTGCAAAAAAACATTAAATAGATTGGAAAATTTTGTTGCCAAGTGTTTTCAGGTTTACAGATATGAGGGTATTTGCAGGTGACACCTTTACGTGGCTTTCAGTAGCAACATTGCATAACAATAGAAATGTTTCCATACATCTGTTTTCAAGAGATTTTCAAAGCATGAGGCTGGTTTTTATTCGTTTGTCTTTTGAAAACTGTTACTTTCTCACTCATGATTAAAACCTTTTTTATAGCAAAGAGACAGATTGTGTTTTGGAAATAAATCCACTTCGAAATGAGACCCATTTTCAACTGCAGAGGAAAAAGTCAGCACATTTGAAACACCTATCCTGTGTAAAAGAAAAAAAGTGTGCAGCTCATCTTTAAGAATCATACTTTCAAGTACCTTACATAAGATAAGCAGAACATTTCTGTGTGGTATCAAAGCTTTCAATATAAATAATTCCTTATCTTATGATTCCTAAAGATTCAATTGGAGATGTTTATTTTATAAAACTCATTATATTGACAATATCTTTCAAATAAAGACTTTGAAAATGACTGTCTTACTACATAAAGTGTGTTTTGATAATATAACACACATTGATAATATAGCTTGCTTTCAACTATATAAGGAGTTTCACATGTGGTGCTACCTGTATAAACATAGCCCTGAATTCTTTGTATCTTCTAGTCTAAACAAATGCTGCATCTGTGCCTACACTCTTTTTTTTTGGCGGTACGCGGGCCTCTCACTGCTGTGGCCTCTCCCGTTGCGGAGCACGGGCTCCGGACGCGCAGGCTCAGCGACCATGGCTCACGGGCCCAGCCGCTCCGAGGCATGTGGGATCTTCCCGGACCGTGGCACGAACCCGTGTCCCCTGCATCAGCAGGCGGACTCTCAACCACTGCGCCACCAGGGAAGCCCCTGTGCCTACACTCTTTCCCCATAAAAATATTGTTTTGACTTAAGACATAACATAGTGTTGAAAAAAATATATTCTCCAGTAACCTTTCCTTTGGTGTTTCACCAAAAAAATAACAATTTTTTAGGTATATTTCACTGCTGAAACAGAATCTAGCAAACTTCTAGACTGAAAAGACTCTAGCAAACATCCTAATTTGAGACATATTAGTCTCAGTACTGTCATCTAACTATAGAGCAAACCACCCATAGGAGGAATTTGTTTGATTCAAATCCCTGCTTCGGATCTTCAGCAACGTTTTCTCTGGTTCATTAAACAGTATTTGCTAACAAATGAATTCATTTTAGTTTGTTGCCATATTATTTTCCATGCACTGGTTCAGTCATTTTTCTAAGACCAACAGTATGTGACCTTTTGTTTTCATTATTGAGAAAGAGATCGAAAAGGGGCTTCTCCTGAGAAACTGGTCACATTGTCTTTCTTGATCTGTATCCTGGCTATTTGGATGGGTTCCGTCTGTGAATAATGAACGGGCTGTACACTTATAATACGTGCTTGTTTCTAAATGTGTATTACACTTCAATAAAACATATTTAAAGAGATTTCTAAAATGTGTTATTAAAATGAATAGCACTTTGTAATGTGACAGATTGAATACATGAGTTTAGACAATGCCGAAAAAATCTTGAGCTTGGTCTTAGTTTTTACGTAGCTGGCTAATTGTGATGATTCCACACGATCAGAGCTAATATTTCAGGGAATAACATCTACTGAGGAGTCAACCTTCTGGAACTGTGTTCAGCTGCAAGTAACACAAGACTTGACCAAATAACAGCTTAAACAAATTAGAAGGTTTTTTCATACAACAGAAAGATGACAGTTCTTGGCATTGTTTCAGCAGCTCACAGACGTCAGGACTAGTCTTTACCACTGTTTTGTCCTTTCTCTCAAGATCACAACAGAGCTGCCACACCTCTAGTCATCACATCTGCATTACAGAAAGGAGGAAGGAGGAAGCCACAAGGAAGAAGGGTATTACCTACGTTAGGAAAAGAAAATTCTCCCCAAATCATTAGAAGATGTCCCTTTAGTTCTCTTTAGCCAGATTTCTGCTCAGTTATCATCTTTAGTAGGAAGGGAAACTAGGAATGGAGCTTTTTTGTAGAGCACATGGCTGCTCTGTATAAAACTGGGGTTCTGCTAGCAAGAAGGAGAGGCTGGCTGTTGGGGAAGCATTGAGCAGGGTCACAAGGCGAGGCCTGGAGCGGTTACGCTCATGGATGTAAACCCGTATTTCAAATGATCTTTGAGGCCTTTGGAACACTTTGGCTGGTGCCTTATGAGATGTGGTTTGACCTTCAGCGCGCCTTGTGCTGGGGCTGATGGGAAGCCAGTATTCGGAGCAGGAGTGGGCCAGAGCAGCCTTTGGGCAGGTAGGGAAAAGGCATTCTGTCTAGACGGATACAGCCCCGCACTTGGGAGGAAGGACTGGGTAAGCAAAACGGCTGAATTTCTGATTATCTGGTTCTGCACTCATAGCAGACATGACTAGTCGATCCTAGCACTCTTACCTGCTGAGCCCAGCACCTCTCAACCCCGTGCTCCGGGCAGATGTTAACATCTGATCAGGAGGCAGCGCCAAAATGCACCTATAGCTATTGCCCATCTTCAGACGTGGAGCGGCCAATTCAATCCAGTTCAGTCAACTTTTCCTGAGCACTTCTGCTGGATGCAGGGAGAGAGACAAAGAAATCAGACCCCCTGCCCTCAAGCACAGGTACTTATAAACCCTCATCACAGTTTTCATCTCATCTTATCACTACATCCTATAACCATACTGGGAAGCCACCATACAATTAAGTTCTCCCTCTGTGTCCTCTGTTTACCCATCTATAAACAGGGGTTTCTCAACCTCGGCGCAGTTGACATTCTGGGCTGGATCATTCCTGGTGCGGGAGGCTGTCCAGTGCATCATAGGGTGTTCAGCCTCGTCTTTGGTCTCTACCCATTAGATGGCAGTAGCAATCCCTCCCCCAACGATGACAATCCAAAATGTCTCCAGATATCACCAGAGGTTTCCTGGGGGGCAAAATCCCCCCCACCCCAAGTTGAGGACGGGGGCACTAGAGCCCCTTTCAGCGCCAGACTCTCAGACTAACTCAGGACACAGAGAAGAAATCGGCATCCACAGAGGCCTGGGAAGGATTTCTGCGCCATCTGCTGGCGACTCGAAGCCTTGTCCTTGCCGAGCCTGGTGAACTGCCCTGCAATCAGCCAGATGGAAACACCCCTGGGAGATGGGTGCTCCTGAGGCTTAGCCTGGGGAAGGGGCTGGAAAAGAAAATGGAGAATGTAAGACTCGTGTTTGTGCTTTGTATAAGATTCACACATTAGAGCACACACCAAGGCCGACGGGGTCCTTGGTGAAGAGTTGCGGGCTTCTCTACCCCTGTGTTTCTCAATGGGGTGACTTTGCCTCTCAGGGGACACTTGGCAATGTCTGGAGAGGT